CTCTATCCGTCCCATCTCATCTCGTATCAGGCAGAACCCATATTATTATATCATTTAACTAATATAACTAGCTACATTATCAGTGCGGGTCTCCGCTCGATGCTTTTTGTCGAGACGGAATCCTCACCCCCAGCTTCCCGTCCCCTTTGCTCCCCTGACTAGGCCAATCTTAATCTCAGTTTGGTAGCTTGTACCTGTCCAGGGGGGAGAGGAGAGGCTCCAGCTGCAAGTCTTTATTTACTCCCCTTGCCGCCGCCGCCTGGCCTGCGGTCTTCCTCTCTCTCTCTCTCTCCTCGCTCTCTTTTGACTGCTTTTCCTCTCCACCAACTACCGCTTCTTAGCCACTTTCCATTCTTTAAAGTGCCTAAGAAAGCCTTTCGCTCATTACTTTTTTTGTCCCATAAAGCATCTCTCTGCCTTGGTCAGAGGGTATATTTGTCTTCTGTTGTCGAAACTCTTTCGCAGTTGATCTGTGAACTATCAAACTATCAAAACCAGCCTCGCAGCTCTCTCTCACGCTCGCCAACTAAATACCCCCCTGGATTATATATATACATATATATACCAGCCTCGACCTTGAATCATCACGGAAACTGCTGTTGAAAAGGAAACCCGGAAGAAAGGAGAAGCAGAAAGAAGGCAATCCCACTGCACAGGATGAAGTCCTCCGTGCTGATGACGGCGCTCTGCGTCGCCGGGTCCCTGGCGGCCGAACAAATCAGCCCTCCAAATGAGGTCGTTGTTACTTCAACGTCGGTTGTAGTTATTACTACGACCATGACAACCACCGTCCCTTGCCCAACGGTCCTACCAACCACTTCGTACAAGCCAGAGCCGACCTCCAAGCCCCCCGTTATCCCTCCTGTGCCGACCTCGTCCGCAAAGCCACTCCCACCACCTCCTGTTAGTCCTCCTGCGGTGCCCTGTCCTGAGCCCGAAACATCAACCATCGCTCCTCCTCCACCACCACCGCCTTCCTCTGCTCCTCCACCACCAGCGCCGCCACCATCGCAGCCTTCTCAGGGCCCTGCACCTCCTCCACCACCGCCAGGGAATGACTACAAGGGGTTAGCTTGCCACCATCACAACATTCACCGTTCCAACCACTCTGCTCCTGCTCTCACCTGGTCCAGCGCTCTGGAAAGCAGCGCCAGAAAGCTCGCCGAGAGCTGCAGATACGGCCATGACACGTATGCAAATTATCTGCCCTCCCTGTTTTGAACCATTGAGCAAGTAACTAACTGAATTGTGAACACAGGAGCATTGATGGCGGTGGATACGGCCAAAACATCGGATACCAGTCCGGATACAACAGCGTTGCTTCTCTCCTAACCCAACAAATGTATAATGAGGAGGTCGTTCTCTTTGACGGCAACTATGGCAATAACAACCCATCCAACTTCCATGCATGGGGCCATTTCACCCAGATGGTCTGGGTTGGTACCACCCACGTCGGCTGTTTCACTGCCCATTGTTCCAACCTCGGGGGCCAGGGCTCTGGCGGAGACGCCTATTACACTGTTTGCAACTACAGCCCGCCTGGTATGTATATCTTCAATTCAATTCCACCTCATGTACAGAGTACAATGCTAACGATATATCGAATAGGAAACGTCCTTGGCCAATACGCTGCGAACGTCAAACCTCCACGAGGGCAGCCTGTAGTTACTGTGTAAAGAGGCTGGCGTAACTATCCAGTATAAATATACCTTGAAAAGGGATATCAGCGCACTTGCCATAAATGCTGTCATCTACCAAGGATATCATCTATCATCCTCCGTCCGCAAGCCGGGGTTCTTCATGGGATTGGATCTTGGCCTACCTTCATCTCCTTCTTATACCGCTTCTGTCCCTGCCCGTTCCTCTCAGGGGCCTTCATTTGTCCAGTCATTTCCTCCTTTCTTCTAGACTTGACAACAAAATTCCGTTCGATGTTTTATCTTCTTCTTTTACCCCTTTTTCCCTCTTTCAAAACAAAGAACCACCACTTACTTTTCTCTGGCTTCTTTCACACGGCCCCATCGAGGGCATTGATTCGCTTCGTTTTGGCTATGGCTGCTACCCGCCTTGACCAACCCCCTTTTCTCTCTGTCTCTTTTTGGACTTGTACCAAAGCCACTTGTCTGAACACATGTCTTCTTCCCTTCTTGTTTATGTATGTGTTTTTTTCCGTAGCCTTTTTATGCTTATTGATGAGTAGCTCTATGAACCCTCTGTGAATATAAAAGGAAAGACAAAATACTTTGGACAAGTGAGTTGTACATTCATCTTGGGCTCTTGTATGATGTTCCTGTATGATAATAAGTGGATCAGGGTTAGCTGTTGTCTATCTCAACTGGATTCGGACAGCATGAAGTGGCAGCTTTAAGACGATACGTATCTAAACATGCAAGGAACATGCTGCGTGCGTTTCTAACTTATATTTACACATACACATGGTCAAAAGGAAACAAAGTGTCCTCAAACCGAACTTTCAGTATAGAGACAAACAAAAAATGGGTTCTAGTATTGCTCGCCTTGGTAGTTGGCATATATCTGTTTCTTGCGCAGGTGCACAGGGACTTGACCGGCTGGGGTATCGGGGATGGTTTTCTTCAGACCCTATATAAAAAGAAATCCAAATCATTAGCAAAACAAGCCACACCTTCGAAGACAACACAGACCGAGGCAAACATACAAGTTTTTCAAACACACAGGTGTTAAGCTGGTTCTCATTCTTTCGGCAGTTCCACAACTGGTGGTTGTTCTGCTCCAGACACTCCCAGTGTGCCTTGAACTGCTGCATGCAGTGGGTGTTGATGTCTTTTATTCTGTATCAGGCACGTCAGTATCCTGCAAAATGAACCCAAAATCCGCCTTTCCCAAGCTGTTATCTCCCCGACGTTAGAGAATGGAACGTACACGCTTGCAGCACAACGAGTGACTTTACGGCCTTCCCTCAAACACTCCACCTCTCCTCGACCTCCCGCCTCGGCCTTGCACTTCATATAGTCATCGTTAAACGCTCTGCATCGGTCTCCGATAAAATAAGAAGCACTCAACAGCGGTGCCGAGGTGGCTCCTATCTCCTCCACCTTAGGAATGTGGTCTGGCAAAGGCGTGTTGTCCGTGATGGACTCTTGGTTGAATCTGTACACACAGTCGTCAGCAGTGGGTTATCGGGCCAAACGGCGGGCGATTGCGGGGGCACGCACTGAGGTCTTCGTGCGCCGGACATCTTGCTGGCTCAATGGCTGTTTGCAGGTTGAAGCTGGCGGTCTTGAAGCTGCCCGGGCGTCTCTGCGCTTTGGAGACAGCTCCGGTGCAGGATGAAGTCAATCGCCAATTTCCTGATTGGTCGAGGTGACGGAGTATATTTGTTCCGCTGAGGTCGCGGCCTCCCGTCACCTCCATGCGGTTCATTATTATTGCTCTCCATCATTGATTGGAATAGTGACTATATCGATTTTTAGAAAGTAGAGAGTGGTATGATTTACTTTTACTATAGTGGATGGCTACGTTTGACGTAGGTGCGCTGCTTCTACGGGGAAACTGGGTATTTCGGGACAGGCTGGAAGTATTGAAAACTGAGAACAGAGAAATCATAGGAGCGACATCTGACTATGGAGAAATTTATAGAATATTTCAAGAAACACCCCCTACTGCAATGGTACCCTCGGAGTATCCGATACTGATTGCTCTAGTCAATCCACGGGCTACCGGTGCTTGAGGACTGCATGAGCTGAACATCTTCTTGTTTATATCGATCGTCCTGTATTAACTGGTATATTAGTAAGCCAATCTACACCAATAATAGCTCTTGAAACTCTCAATTTGAATGATAAATAACCAATGATAATTCTTACATTGATTTTTTTGGTTGTTTTCACTTTTTTTTAATTGATTTTTGTTTTTATAAACATCCAACCTCAGGCCAAAACGCCCGACTACCTAACACCCATGCCCTACATGCTTTATCTGGTCCTGGATAAGATATTTGAGCAAGTGAAAAGTGTACGTTATGCTAGCTGTCACTTTGATATCGTGGGTTCCAGCCTGTTATCAAGCTGTGAAGCACGGTTGACCATCCTCACAATCACCATTTTAACATGCTGTTAAAATGGAAGTGAATATTCAATCGATGATCCTTGAAACTACGTCTCAAGGGATATGTTGAAGAAATCAGCTGCCGTTATTACTGGGGAGTAGATGCACTTGTAGCAATTAATTGATATCAACTCCGGGATGGCAAGATAGCCAGTACGGGTGCTTGCATGTTGTTTCTTCCATGTATATTCATCCTTCTTATCCAATGATATCGGCTGCAAACCAAAAGTTTCACGTCTAAGTGCATTTCTTAGTAGCTTTAAATGAAAGTTCTGTTCCGTGTTGTTCTTATGCCTTGGACATTCACTTAACGTGGTTGGCGGCAAGCAGGAGTGAACACTCGCTACGCCGAACTTCATCTTTCTTCACCTGCCACTTCCGCCTTTTAACTACACACTCATTCCACTTGGAAGAAAACAACCGCGTCCACGGCCGCAAAGCTCTTTTATCTGCAGATACTCAGAATACCGAGAGCGGAACTCTTGAAAGCAATACCAAACAATGGAGTAAGTATCTTTTTGACCTCAATATTATAATCGATGTGCTCTTACTGATGATTTGATAGCCACGAAATTTCGGGTGCAAGAGGTCAGGAGAAATGTTTCCCTTGTCAGTTGAACTGAATCGATTAACAACGTTTATAGAATGGTGTCTCGAAGAAGAACAATTAGAAGATGTACAGGGCGAGGATGTGTTTTACGACTGCGAGCAAACACTCATCCCTGAAATCTCTTCAGGGACCAAAGCTGAGCGAGTGAGTAATTGAACTGGATATTCTAAGTGTCTTGAGGTACTAATAGAGGACCTTTACAGGACGATGCCAATGGCCCGAGTGCAGTACCACAATCGCTGGATCCAGCGCCTCTTACCGTGTCTACTAATACCAGCACTTCTGGTGCGCGCTACCCTACTAAACCTCCTACATATGTGTCTGTGAATAAAAACGCATGGGCATCTGGTGCCGCGTCGTCAGGTGAGATTTACCGAGAGATAAACGTCTATATGTGGGTTAACCTCTCTACTAGGCTCATATAGACTCCCTATGCCATTCGGGGTACTTAAAGAGAGGTTAGTAGCGACTAGTAATTAGATCTGTCTGATCTTTTGTACTAATGAAATAATCTAGGGTTGGGGAGTATATCAAAGCACTAGGGCCGAATTGTGGGAACGTCAATGACTTCTTGTTCGACAAGATCAACTATGACACGGGTGCATTCATACCGCATCCAAAGAAACAGTCTGAACAAGTATGAGTAGGTTATCTATCTTTGTCTGCCATGACTAATGTGCTTTATTCTAGTGGCTGCATATCTGGGGAAGTCCAGCTCAAGTAGCGGCTGCGAAGAGCGCCCTTATGCGCCTACTCAACCGCTGCTCCGATATTGGACCCTCGAAGAAGAAAAAAGGAATTTTTGCTAAAATTTCTAGTTACTCCCAAGTCAAGGAGGCACGCCTTGACCAAATTGATAAATCCAGTACTGTTATTGAACTGCTTCGTCAGAAACCAAGCTCGGCCTTTGAATTCCTAGAAACTGTGCGCTATTCTCATCTCAATAAACTTGTCCTCTTACTAACTAATATTTTGGAATTAGCTGCTCTTTTTATGGCCAACAGACGAGGTACCATTTGATTTATTAGGACCCCAGTTAGAGGCACTCGATCCTATTCGCCGGGAGACTGGTTGCTACATTTACATTTACGATGAGCAGCCGTCCTTTATAAGAGTCGATGGCGATGATCACGACACCATCGTAACGGCTGTGCACAGACTTCGGGCCAAATGGGCCGAAATCATGGCAAAGATTCATATGCAGTCGAAGCTTTATCTTGTGCAAGCAGCTTCATCAAACATTCGAAACAAAGAGGTTGCAATAGCCCGTGTAGCCCATTCTGTAGGAGGATTAGGGCAGGTGTATGCCACTCCAGTGCTACATGAGATTCCTCTAACATCAATGGATCCAGACTCTATGCCAGACCGAGATGTAGATTCTCTTACCACTAATGAAAGCCGTCTCCGTGAAACTGTTGAAGAATCACTCCAGGGGCTTCGATTTCTCCGCGGCCATGTGCGTATGCGGGTCAACTTTGGAACATTCATCCTTGATGACTATAGGGAACCCAAGAACTCAAGAGCTCGATATTCTTTTGATGAATTTAAAACAATGTTGCTTAATTCTAGGACTAGAGGGCATCTCGTGCAAGGGTAATATACCCTGCTCTCTAAGTTTCTATCAGTGAGATAACTACTAACAATTTGTTAGACTGAAATATACCCGTGGGGATACCAGCCTCTTGGCCAAGTGCAGCTCTGCCACTCATATTTTAGCGCCCTTAAATGGGCCTGCTTTGAATTCTCAAAAGCAACCGGAACCGTTGTATGCTGTTATCTTCGAGTTCCAGGGCAGCAGCTCCCTTCTAAGGCTGGAAGTTGAATTTGCAAAGTCCCCTTCTACCAATCATTTCGAGGTTTACCAAAAGCGTTGGATCCGGCCACAGGGTGATGATAATGTTGGAGGTACACGACCCCTTCTTCAAATTGCCGTTATTGACTTTGAAAGGTATTTCTTATATTTGAGCTTACAAACGCACTGTACTTATTGTACTAACCATTTCCATAGAGCAGACTGGCAATTAGAAATCAAAGCCCTTGAGTTCCAGGAGCCTTCGACAATTGAACAGTCTCTAAGAGAGTTCTCTCACTCGGTACATTTCCACCCCGAGAAAATGCCTGATTTGAGTGGTCCCGGGAAACAACGAGTATCTTTCTCAAATCTCGCCCCAGTCGCCCGGATTGTCGAGAAGTCAGCGCTACGCTACCGGCTTAAGGGAACAAATTACATTTTCGAACTCGCCCGATACGATGAATATTCCCGTGCTCAATTGACAGCTTCTCAGATTCTTTTACAAGGGCCAAGTTCGAATAACATGTCACCAGTACCCATAACGTCTTGGGGTGCATCTATTTTCGACCTTCAGTGGGATAATATGCTGGGTCAGCATGCAAATTTTGGAGTTGGGCACAATGCAGCATGGAGTCCTAGTCTAAACACTTTCTTCCCTTGCTTTGGAGACGCTGACCCATCTGATCTTCGAAGTGGGTTTAACTCCTTGATGCCTCTTATCGACCAAGTGTCGACGCTACTCGGTCAAAAGTGTGAGGCTGATTCTAAGGGTCAAGCTGCAGAACAGCAGAGAGAGGAGGTAGTAGAGGAGGGCAGCTCCGAGAGCTCCGCCTTCAGAGCTCATTCATTTACATGAGATCGGTTCAGCCACACACTATGGGATAATAATGGTATTTTAGTAGTTAGGGGACATAGGAAATTAAAATCAGACGTATCTTCAATTTTGCCATCAATCATCAAAGGTTGTTGTTTTCCATATGTCTTGGGAGAGAATTGAGAAATAAATAGGAGAAAGGAGAGAGAGAGAGAGAGAGAGAGATCATGAATTCCTTTTTTATATATTCCTAATGCCATGACAGACCGGGTGACTTATATTTTTAATCAAAACAGCTACTGTTATTTATCTCTCACAGGCGTGAACGAAGATTCCATGGGGACGTGAAAGGTTCAACCGAGTCTTCGCTCTAACAATGGCGCTACCTTATCCCCTGCACTCTGGCCTCTGCAATAGAACCGGCTATGCTTAGCCTTGTCCGTCATACACTCAGGAGACTGCCGTCGATTTCGGATATGGGCATCTTCGGTTTATTCAAACTTGTGCGACTCCGCTAGGCCCTGCCTGCGCCACATTGCCTTCGCCAGCGAGAAGTTTTTGGCGCAACACTGCATCATTCTTGTTAGTAGGTGATTACCCAAATTAGAAGGCCACCGGGCATCGCATATTGAACAATACCTTCTTCAACGACTCTTAGATTCGTGCTCTTGCCTGCCACAATCTTCTCTAGCTCACGCAAGTTTGTTCCCAACTCTCCCACTTTGCCATTGTAAAATTCTATAGCTTTGGATGGTGTCTACATAGCGATCCGTTAGCATTGCAACTTCCCATTCTTACCTCCATATCCGCCAATTGAGATGGGCAGAGACAAACCATAGGTACCGTACCTTTTCGACATAGAACCCAGTCCCGACGTCTACGATCACCTTTTCTCTATCCGATAGCTTGCCTTTGACATATAACGAGTTGGTCAACGGTACTAATATATTATTCTCCTGCCCATCCTTTTCTGGCTTCGCGAGAATACCATCGTTTATAGAACGGATGCATTCTCTGAACTTCGATTGCGCGGATCGTAGTTTTGTATGTGATGATGTGAGATGTTCGAGCTCGGAGCTTAGGCGGGACTGGAGAGAGCGAAGCTGAGGTACGGATAATGTAGCAACATCAACTATTGCGTTTGCGGGTTAGCATGCAAGATATTTAAATGGTATCTGCCATCTCGTGCTGGGACGGGCTGCATCAACAGCGAAAGGACCTGAGTGCGGGGTTGTAGTGACGAACCTGCGCCAGGAGCGGCGGCAGAAGTTTTCTGCGAAGAAGCCATTTCAATTCCCAACCATATATTCAAATAAAAAAGGCGATTGTATTGTTTGGTGAATTATTGTTGTGTTGGAGTTCAGGGACTGTTGAATGTTTTTGTTAGCTAGTTAGCGGAAAGTGACGTGTGGGAGATTTAGTTAGATCTAAGTTAGCCGCATGGTCGATGGTCGAACGCGAACGTAAGTTTTGTTACATTCAATTCCAAGGGTTTACCCTACCGTGATGGAAATAAGCTACTCCCTTCTAAGCCTACTCTCTTAGCCTCTTCTCTAGGCCTCTCTTACTAGGGGCTTCTCTTACTTAAGTCTCTTGCTTCTACTAGGGAGAGTACACTTAGAGAGGCATGTTTAAGAGAGAGTAGGCTAGGGGCAGCTAGCTTAGGGGGGAGAAGGCTTAGGGAGAGAAGCCAGGCCGCGGGCCAAAGAAAAAGGAAGAGTGTGCCCTTGAGAAAAGGGGTACTTAGGTATAAAGTATTTATCTATATAAGAAGATCCATTATCTCTTACAAGGCAAAACGAATTTTGAGCTTATGGTACAAATAGGTAGAATGATCATAACACTCTTCAGAATAACAGCTTGAGATCTTGAATATAGAGTAAAAATTTCTTTGAAACCGGTTCTATCCTATAGTTGTATACAATACCTCCAGAACGCCAATGCTAGTAAATACAGTATTATACAAACATACTCCATAAAACCATGAGCCGCCAGAAAAAGAGTTGGACAATGCTATAGTTTGCTGAGCAAGGATGAAACAAATTCAGGAACTTCCTCCAAGGAAACTTTAGTTCGGAGATTTCCTAATCGTCGACACTGGACTTCCACCTTGTTGCCCGCGCCCCATGAATTCTTTCCAACTGCCAGAATGATAGGATATCCAATAATGTCCGCGTCTCTCAACTTCCAGGCGAAGTCTTTCTTTCTATCATCCAATATCGTGTCAATCGGCTGCTTGGTTTTCTGAGTAACGATGTCGTAGACCAGCTCGCCTTCTTTCTCCAGACCCTTCCCGGGTACAACAACCACTTGGAAGGGAGCAATGGCTTGTGGCCAGTTAAGGCCCTTTTCATCTGCCAGAATATCCGATACCGCCGATATCATTCTAGAGACTCCAATACCATGGCAACCCATTTGTATTGGAACTGGTTCCGGCTTCCCTTTTTGTCCTGCTCCAGCTAGAATGGCAGGGTTTATGGTTACATTGGCTTGTAGCACCTCGCTATATCGTGTACCAAGGTGAAAAGTGTGCGCAAGCTCAATGGACTGGTCAGTTTTGAGAGCAGGCTTTCCGCAATTGGGGCATTCATCTCCTGATCTCGCTCGGAGTAAATCCAGACCGTCATTGGTTCCAGGGAAGCGGTCAAGCAGTGAGGTTTGAATGTCAAGGTTGTTGCTAGACATCCCATTTAGAAGGTCCTTAATTGGCGGTCGATCATAGACACGGACCCTGAAATCATAGATATCCAGGACACGTAGATTTTGTTTGGTCGTCTCGGTTTGGTTCTGAATTTCGGCTTTCCACGTAGCAGGGGCGTCCTTGACACCTATGTCAATATCGATCCCATAGGCGGAAGCCACTGATTTCAGAGAATGTTGGTTCACTTCCCGCTGAACAGGTTCTGATTGCCCGTTAGCGATAAGGAATTTGGGGTAAAATGCCCTCACTAAGACTTTCCTGTCTTTAGAGATTGCCGACCACTGGCCTGTTGAAATGGCTGCTGCCTCTTGACGGCCTAGCCCGTTAGTTGGGGAGTTTGAATTTGGCTTGTGCTCAGTTCGTTTGCAGGAGGTTTTCCCACTGGCTAGCTCCTCATTGAAGACATATTCGCATTTAGAGCAGCTAACTATAGTGTCCTCTCCTTTTGGACTGGGAAAATGAAACTCGTGACTTAAATTGCCTCCCATGTTGCCCGATGAAGCCGAGGCAACAACATATGGTAACTTTAACTCCTTAAAGAGACTACTATAGGCTTCTTTCACTGTATTATAAGTCTTGATTGCCTCTGCTTCAGTAGAGTCAAAAGTGTAGAGATCCTTCATGACGAATTCTCTACCACGCAAGAGGCCATGCCGCGGTCTTGGTTCATCACGGTATTTTCTCGCTAGATTGGCTAGTTAGCACCTTGACATATAATCTTTCTAGTGAGGAATGGTCTTACAAATTTGATATACACGTAGCGGCAGATCTCGGTATGATTTGATCAGCCCAGATACAACAGAAGTAATCTCCTCTTCATGAGTTGGGGCAAGAAGGAACGGAGTCTTCTTTCTGTCCACAAATCTAAATACCTTTTTTAGGAGTTATTATCAAATTATACACGCAACAAAAAAAAAAAAAAAAAAAAAAAAAAAAAAAAAAAAAAAAAAGAATCAACTGCGTACCTCAGAATCGTCGTCATGGAGTCTCCCCGACTTCTTCCATAAAGCCTGAGAAGATAAGGATGATAGCGACAGCTTTGAGGCGCCTATAAGACCATGTTAGTCGTAGATTCACTGGCTTGAAGAGAAGCTACTTACTAAGTTTGCGCATATACTTATCAATAAGCCTCTCTAATTTCTCTTGGACTCGGAGCCCAAGTGGAAGAAGGTGAAATACCCCTGAGTAGGGCTATGTGATATCAGCTTGAAACCCGCTATACTCAAAGCTATGTAACGCACCTGTCTTAGGAACCCAGCCCTAATAAGAAGGTCGTTAGAGTCCACTATACAGGAATTAGTGTCCAAAACAACTCCTAAGAAGGAAGTAGTTCTATTTACCTCCATTCTTGGATTCCGCTATTCCACCAGAGGGAATCCAGAAACTAGAGGCTCTGTTCCTGGTGTCATCCTGCAAAATATGTTAAAATGGTATTATATTTCGGAAGAACATCACATACATGGTATCTCCGGAGGCTTTGAACTTGGCCTGCAAAAGGAATGTTCAATACTGGTCGCCAATGAAGCGACTTTGGGCCACGCTCAAGGCCGGCCTGAAGAAACATGAGATTGACTCAAATTGGCTGTTGACAAGAGGGAATTGATAATCCTAGATGGATGGTGAAGTTGCCTCGATGTATCGCCAGATGCGAGGTCGTTCAACTTTTTTGAACTTTCCCCTTGCCTTATCTGATCGGCCCGCACAGAGCTTCCTCCGGGTGAACCATTTATCCGATATAAAAATTGCCCTTTTTTTCCAATTATTATTTTTCTAGAACAAACTCTCAAGGCTCAGATTTCTTATCTCGGCGGCCAACCAGGTATTTTTACGACATGGCAAAGGGGAAAGGAAAAGAGGATAAGTCGCTCAGAGCCAAGGATGGTGCTGCCGCTGAAAGGAAGCGGCCGAGCAGTGATGCAGACGCAACACCAAGCTTTTCTGATGCTATGGTAGCTAGCCTTACCAAACGAATTGAACAGAAGTTAAAGGGTGATGAGGGTGCAAATGGAGGTCTGTCGAAAGCTGAAAAGAAGGAGAAATTGGAAAAGAATGACAAGCGTAAGGAACGGAACCAAGTCATTGAGATGAAGCCCACCGAGAAGCCTGTCAAAAAACGAGAGCTACTTGCAGACGTTAAGCCTACCGATAATAAAGCGGGAAAGAAACGGGACCGAAGTGGGAAAATTATACAATCTGAAGTTTCTGAAAAGCCACATTCAACAGCGGAAAGGCAACGTGATGTCAGGAAGAATCTGGAAGAGGAGGTATATGCAATTGGTGGGACGAAGGAGGATCTTGACCTGGTAGCTGGTGTTGAATCGGACTCAGAGATGGAGGACAAGGAGGTTTCCAGTGGCGATTTGGAGAAGCTTCGAAGCGACCTTGGTAAACTTATCAATGGCGGGAATGAGCTTCCTGAAGTTCCAGACCTCCCTATGCAGGAGACGAAGCCCATTAAAACGAAGCAGGAACGGAAGCAGGAGGGGAAGCAGTCTGAGGAAAACAGAACTGAAAAACTGACACAAGAGAAGAAATCTAAGGGGAATAATGCCCTAGAGAAGAAGACGGAGAGTAAAAAGATCCAGAAAAATGAATCTCTGCCCTCAGCTTTAACTCAAGACTCTAAAATGTCCGAGAAAGGTCTATCTTCTTCGATCTCGTGAGTGAACTATTCCCCTTTGGTGAAGGTAGCTCTATACTAACTCATATCGCGTGTAGGTTATCCCTGAGCGTTCCGATTGGCATAATACTCTACTTCCAGAAATATCCTATGATTCCAATCGCCACGTAACTGTATCTCGCTCAGTGCTGGAGCGCATGCGTGAATATGCTATGACGTTGCTGGAAGCCGAAAATAAAGCATACACATCGAATAGGGACTCTAAATCTTCAAGCTACAAGTTTTATTCCACAATTGTCTCTTCAGGTACCCTAAGTGACAAGATATCGGCTTTGACCCTTTCGGTACAAGAATCACCTCTTCACAATACACAGGCATTGGAAAGTTTGGTTGGTTTGTCCAAAAAGCGGAGCAGAGCCCAAGCCGTGGAAGTGTTGCGATCGCTGAAGGATCTGTTTGCACAAGGCACTCTACTTCCCAGTGATCGAAGATTGAAACATTTTGTTAATCAACCTGCCTTGGCCGCTGCACTATCGGAAGCAGGTGGCCACTGGGACATCGGCGATAAGCTTCCGAATCAAATTGAGAAAAGCCATTTGATTATGTGGGCATTTGAAGATTTTCTCAAAGACCAATACTTCGAGGTATTGAAGGTTCTTGAAGTTTGGTGCAATGATGAAATCGAATTTTCTCGATCCAGAGCTCTGAGTTACGTTTACGAGCTTCTAAAGGAAAAATCAGAACAGGAATCCAACTTGCTACGCCTTTTAGTGAACAAATTAGGCGACCCAAGCAAGAAAATTGCCTCACGAGCGTCATATCTTCTCCTTCAACTCGAGCAAGCTCATCCACTCATGAAGGGAACTATTGTCTCTTCGATAGAGTCAGAGTCATTGTTTCGTCCTGGCCAGAGCCAACACGCAAAGTACTACGGAGTTATCACTCTAAACCAAACTATCTTGAGCAAGAGTGATGATAAAGTTGCATCTCAACTTCTTGATATCTATTTCCCCCTCTTTGTTGCTCTTTTAAAGCCCAAGAAAGACGTTCATGCCCAAAAGATACTTAAAAAGAAGGGGAAACACTCCAAGAAGGGTAAAAAAGGTAAAGAAGGCAATGAAGATGGCAAAGGGGAGGCTCAAGAGGATGAGCTTCGAGAGAAGCTTATCTCGGCAGTTCTGGTTGGCGTGAACCGCGCTTATCCCTTTACTACGTCGAGTTATGAATTGTATGTTGACACTTATTCAAACCCATTGCAACATTGCGAGCTAACATTATTTTACTCTCAGGCTTTCTAAACATCTGGATACCCTTTTCCGTATTACCAATTCTTCTAACTTTAACACTAGCATTCAGGCTCTTATGCTCATTCAACAGCTCTCTTCTTCTCATGCAGTTTCAGCGGATCGGTTTTATAAAACACTCTATGAATCATTACTGGATCCTCGGGTGGCTACATCATCCAAACAGTCGATGTACCTCAACCTGTTATATAAGGCCCTGAACGCTGACATCAACATTAAACGGATTAAAGCGTTTATCAAGCGTCTAGTACAGATATTAGGCGTGCACAACCCATCTTTTAGTTGTGGAGTCTTGTATCTGATCCAAAAATTGGAAACAACTTTCCCATCTCTGACAGCTATGGTGGATCAACCGGAAGATGCTGAGGACGATGACGAGGAAGAAGTCTTCAGGGACGTTCCGGATGAGGAAGAAGATGAGGTAGACAAGGAAGAGCCTGAAAAGCAGCCATCGGTAACTCGTTATGATCCTCGAAAGAGAGACCCAGAGCAAAGCAACGCTGATAGAAGCTGTCTGTGGGAGTTGGTTCGTACCTCTTGATGCGAACCCTTAATAACTATTAGCTCGAAATCACTAACAATCATTTTCTGTTAGCTTCCATATCTATCACATTACCACCCCTCTGTAGCTGTCAGTGCTAAACAGCTGCTCCTACATGAGAAAATGTCTGGAAAGCCAGATCTCACGATTCATACTCTCACCCATTTTCTGGATCGTTTCGTTTATAAATCTCCCAAAGCTGCGCCTAGTCTTCGTGGATCTTCCATTATGCAACCTCTTGCTGGCGGTGATTCTAGTGGTCTCCTGGTAACATCTGGGCGCAATACGACACAGCAACCAGTCAACTGCGAGTCGTTCTGGAGAAAGCGAAGCGACGAGGTTTCTGCTGAAGATGTTTTCTTCCATGACTACTTTAACCGACTTGGTAAAGACAAAATGCGTCAAAAATCTAAGAAGAAATCTGCCAAGGATGACGAAGAAGGGGAGAGTGACGAAGAGTCTGAAGTTTGGAAAGCTTTGGTACAGTCACAGCCTGAGCTCGACGGTGAAGGCGTTAGTGACGACGACATGGACATGGAAGGCTTTAATTCCGCCATGGAAGATAGTGATCATGATGATCTAGAGGGCATGGATGAGGACATGGATGGGGAGGATCGTGAGATCGACGATGATGTTATCATCAATGACGAAAGCTCGGAGGAGGAGGAAGTAGAGGCACCTTCGGAGGCTGGAATGGATAAATCTATCGATATTGATGAGGATGTGTTCAATTTCGATCAGTCAGATGAGGAAGCATTCCTCGACAGTGACCAGGAGCTACCGTCAGATTTGGATGGTGAGGTCGCTGAGGCGAAAGACACAAAGAAGTCTGATCAGTCGAAGAGAGAAAAGAGACGAAAACTCAAGCATCTGCCTACGTTTGCGTCTGTTGAAGACTATGCAGCTTTGCTGGGCAAGGATGACGACGAAGACTTTTGATTTTATGTTGGCTTTGACATAGTATTTGATTTTAAGGTAAAACAATCTTGTTCAACTACTAGAGACTCATTTGGTAATGTTCACAACCCGCATCCATTATGTTATTGTTGCACATCATTAGACGCTAAGTAGCAAGAATACCCTCAATAAAAGCAATACCTTAATCGAGACCGCTTTTCTCCCGATGTTATCTGCGTAATATTCAACCAATCCCATTAATACTACCTGCTTTCTGGCATGCAAATAAGAGGCCATCAGAGGTACAATCAAAACGAGTTATATATATCCCTGGACTGCAATGCCAGGAATCCCCAGCACATGGCGCAAATCTCGACAAAAAGCTCCATCAGTATGATAGGCACCGTGTCCCACAACCTCGTCCACTTCCATCTTTCGCAGGCGAGCTACAATAACCACGCATGCTTCTGCCCAAGCGACCATTGTGCCGGAGAGCCCCTCGTAGAGGCTATAAGGATGGTCCGGCATACGATATTGGATGCTCTCTTCGTACGTATGGGTATTAAATGGCTGTGTCTTTCTGACATGCAGAAGGAAAGCCAGTGCTCGCGAGAGATATTGGTCAGCAGAGTACTTTTGAGGAGGCGGTGGTGTCTGAGCCAGTTTTTCGCTGAACGCCATCCTGTCGGCTCTCGAGCCCTGAGGCCCATATTCAAATAAGTTGTGAAGCATTAGGAAAGGCCATGCGTTTCCTGCAATGCCATGGCATAAGCCACCTCCTTTAAAGATGAGGCCTTGCTCCCAAACCCGCTGGCTAGCGAGGTATATTGCATGATCCCAACATGGCTCCCACTCCAGGCTCGCTAGACGTGCAATGCCTCGAGAGCGAGCTAAAAGGACCAGGAACCCAGGGGCACCGTGACAGATCTGGACCAGAGGAGACCGTCGTGCTAAGGGATTGTGTGGCAATGACGAAGGAAGGTGGCCTTCGTTCGCAATGGTCAGTTTGCAAAGCTGCGTGATTGTCTTCCCAATTATCGGGAGGTGATTATTCTCAAGGGCCCCATCCCCTAACTCTTCAAGCTTGCATTCAAGGAGAATGGCAAGGATACCGCCTATATCTATGGTGAGCACGTCAAGAACCATGGACAGATTTCATGGAGTGATACCTACATATTCCGTGGCAGCTAGAATTAAGCAACGTCATACGTTAGTGTCTTGATAAGAGATTTGATTGAGCAAGCCGCATGGGAGACTTACCTTCCTACATAATATTTGCCCCGGCATGGCCACATAAGGGGAAGCGCCTCACTCTCTCCATGCTCTTCCACGAACATCTCTGCCCCAATTTTACCCGCCTCTATTATACAATCCACCAACAACGGAACACTTTTGAATACCAGCTCGTAAGATGCTGCAGTCTCCCTATCGAGACGGAATTGACGGAAGGCTAAGACAGCCCTGAGGAGTCCAGCTCTTCCACTCAAAGCATCGTCGTATCCCAGGCCATAGTTTTCATCGCATGCATGATCGAAAGCCTCGCAGACACAGGCCACGTCCCGTGAATGAATCCTACAAACACCTCCATTTCGAGAAGTCATGTTTGCGGCAGCAGCAAAGGTACGAGCAAATGCGGCGCCAAGGTGAGCGGATCCGGTGGGCGATACCTGGCCATGGTGCGGATGTATCTCAACTAGGTGCGGACTGAGACGCTCTTTGGCCAGGCTGTGAGCGCTGGAAATTAGTGCATCAGTTTCTGCTTTGTTGCCACCGAGATATTTGGCTTGAATGGCAATGCGAGTAGCCATAACAGCGATTCCTATAGTTTGACATCCCGAGAGGTTCAGCCAGTTGCTTAAGTATGATGTTGGCCATCTGGGTTTGTGCGTACCATTGTCGCCAGTGTATAGAGAGCCGAATGCCTTGGTATCGTTTATATCTGGAGTAGGACTATTCGCCTTGAGTAATGCAAACGCACGCACGATAGCCTCTCTGAGCTCAGTGAGCGTGTTCTGCAGTGACGCCTTGTCAATGGGGACCAAGCAGAGGTCGTTTTTGAAGTACTGAGGCATGGTCACTCTAGCATGCCAACAGAGATAACTCGAGAAACACTCCCCAAAAGCCCCTTACAGCAGTCACTATAGAGGTACACACCCCGTATCTAGGCTGATCACCGTCTGATCGACCTGCCTGTCCATTCTGTCCATTGTATATCAAAGCTTGCATGGCCTTCTGTGGCAAAGGCTGCTGGCTGCCGTGATGTCATCCCGCTGCAGCTGTTTGCCTGGCTAGGTAATTAACTCCGAGGGCCACGGCCAGGGAACCTTAAGTCCGGTTACATTCTATATCAAAATAGAAAGCCAGTCGTTTACTTCTGCAGTGGAGAGATACCTGATATAGGCAGCAAGAAGCAATCAAGGTGGCGAAAAATAATAGAAGCAAGTCACATTACATCAACTCGGGACCCGTGGAATTTGGTCCCAGAAATCGTAAGAGAGAGCTGTTACTAGGTGGAATTGCGTATCATCTCCTGAAAGTCTTATTCCGGATAACCATTTACCCCCTCCTTTGCAGCCAGCATGTTTGTATCTTCATCGAGCTCGGGGTTATCTACGAATTTCCTCACTTTCCGAACAATTCACTAGAAGCCACATGTCCCTAAGATCTGAGAACTTTTCTTCTAAAAATCCCACGACGACGATTGTGGTAGCAATGAACACGCCAATGCTGTTCACTACCAAGTGATAAGTTATCCCATAAGTCAGAGTGATGCTGATACCATGGAAACCAGGCTTTGCTGTATGGGCACATTCCTTAACAAAAGACCCTGAAGAATATGGCTAATATTAAGCGAATAGTAAACGCCAGGGACGAAGTGGCATTCGGATCCTATTCAACAAAGTATATAGTCTTTGAGCGAGTTATCTGTACAAGCTATGCCCATGAGGCTAGCAATCTGCTTCAAGTGTTCTGCGGGTAAGAGTACCTAATATACGTCGAATTGTCTTCTCTTACTGAATGCTGCGACGCAAGCGCTTTCCGTTTTTCAAGGGGAAGTGTACGAAATGCAAATAGACCTTTTAGTTCTAGATCTTTAGTATCCTAGGGCTACCGAAAATGGACTTTTGACAATGTAAGGTCCTCTCATTTAAGAAGCCCATCAGTTTTATCTCGAATCAATAATTTATAACAGCCAAGCATACAACGTTCACATAGAAACAGTACATATTGCAGATGCTGGGATCCCAATTCTCCGAGAAATAAAATATAACGGCTTCCGTCTAATCATCATCAGTAGAGACGGTTACACGATCGTTAGTCAGGAGCGTATGCAGCCCTTGAAAGAAACATGCAATTATTACCAGATACCAGCTTATGAACTGTGGCCAGTTGCGGAAAACTTCTTCGACTCATTTCATTCTAGGAATGGTTTCAGGTTCAACTTCCCAACTTATATCGTTCAAATTGATTCACTTGGGCAGCGCAGGATGTCCAGAACTAGTACAGGGTTCTCAGTCTTGGACTTTTCAGACGCTGTACTCCGTAGGTAGGTACCATTTCTCTGCCTGAATACTTTTTCTACTACCTCCGATATTGACTTGCAACAAGTATATGATACTAGTCGACAGACTTTTCTCTCTCAGCCTCGCTGGTGTGGCTAAATCGGCCGAACTTGAAAGGGATTTGGACGTTGAAATGAAGTGACTGGGATAGACATCGTCAAATCCCTATAACCAACCACGCTGTCAACTGTTACTTTTGCAAATATAGTGAGGCCGAATGTATTCCGTCAAGGCACAGATTTTTTCTTAGACTCATCTAGACTTCTCTCGCCTTACTAGTTAGTTATGGTTGATGTCACGGAGTAACTATGGAACAAAAGTATTTCAGCGAGCCGCATGGATCTGTGGGCTGATTGGATGAGAAGGCATCAGCGTGGTATATAATACCGGCCCGGATACGCGGTACCAGTAACTTTTCCCGCTTGTCTATTTATTTTTACGGCACAAAATGTCAATGATAACTAAGCTGTGAAGATATGTGGCTTTCCCCTCGCATCCTCACAAGGCACAACGTCTCTCAATTAGACGCAGATAACTATGTTCCCGTCTTACAGCCTTGTCCTTTACCCGGCCATATTCGAGCCCATCGCTAGTTCGACAGGGTTCGGGCATCTCCTACCCGGACCCCATAGCGAGGCTGAACTTCATCAGGCCAGAATGAACCCTATTCATCCTTCAGGAAAAAACAACGAACAGGCTGGGTGGTTATGTTGACGGCTTTAAAAAAGCTGGCTGACCCCAGGGGGCCTGGGGGATCTACCGTGTCGCTTTCTGTTCTCTCTTGACACATTGACACCGTCCTCCACGGAGTCTACGTTATAAGTCTCCTCCTGCCTGTATTGCACCTTTTTCATCCCCTGACATTAACAGAGACTCATTATGTCTGAGCTTGAGCCTGTCGATGATGTCGACATCGATCAGATGTGGAGGGAGACTGAGATTGAATTCCAGAACTTGAGCGGGAACAGCACCAAGGATTTGAAACAGCTCACTGTCGAAGATGTTCTCGCGAATCTCCAGCAGAAGAAAGAAGCAGATGCAAAAACCAGCGCAAGATACGCAAGGGTTAAACATGCAGTGGATAAAACACTTGTTTGTATTCAGACCCTTGGTTCCTTTGCTGCCTCAGTTGCCTCTAATGTAAGTCAAAGCTTATAACTGTATTTCAGTATACTCCTCATATTAATATATGTTTGTAGTTTTTCGGACCTGCAAACCTTTGCTTTAGCGCTGTTTCCATGTTAATAACGGCCTCCCAAAAGTATTCCAAAATTTTTGATGGGCTCTCGGAGCTTTTTGAGCGCATATCAACATTTTTAGACCGATTTCAAATTTATGCAAGATCCAAGGTAGTAGGTGTCAAAATTGACCCTCACCTTAGGCGGATTATCCACGATTTGTTGCGTAGCTTTGTACGCATCTGTGCCCTGTCTATCAAAATATCAAAACATTCCAAGGTCCTTTTGGCACTCGAGGTATTCAGTTTTGGAAGCGATAAAGGCGTTTCCGCAGAACTTAGCAAGCTGGAAAATCTGGTGCAGAATGAAACGAAAATGAGCATTGCTCTGATTCTGGAATCCACCAAGATTAGCGAAGGAAAGATCACAGCTGGGTTTTCGGATGTCAAATCATCTATTGATACAGTCGACTCAAAGCTGGACACCCTTGATGGACACATGGATAGTGTCTCTACCCTTTTAGAAAAGCACGACCTTGCCGAAAGACGGAGGGATCAGGAAGGGCAATCTAAACAGCGACGAGACAAGATTAAAGCTGCTTTGAAAATCGACAAAGAAGTGTGGAGATCATACCAGGAAGATTATGTGGGCAACATAGTCCCAGGAACCGGCCAGTGGCTTCTGAACGATCCCCAGTTTTCTGCCTGGGCAGACCCTAATACCAAGTCACCCCCAATATTTGGTCTCAAGGCTAAGGAAGGGTATGGAAAGAGTTACTTATCGTCTGCGGCGATCAGACATCTGTACCGGCTATACCCACCAGGGAACCAGGATGCAAGGATGTCCGTCGCATACTATTTCTTTGGGGGAACAACCTTTAACTCTACGGAAAAATCAGTGAATATTGCGCTCAGGTCGATAATTTGGCAGCTAACCCAGAACGATGCGGTTTATCAGAAGAATGTTGCTTCTGCTTGTGATAAACCAGAAGAGTTTGGCGATTCGTTAGAACTTTGGAAACAACTTGTGGTAAATTTCTCGCCGAAGACCAATGCTGTTTTCTACATTGTCCTCGATGGTATAGAGGAGCTCGATAGTGAAATTGGGAAGCCCCTGGTTGAGGTCTTCCGCGACATATCTGCCATGGCAAATGAAAAGAGTATGATGACTGTTAGGTTATTCATTACTGGCAGGCCAACTATTTTCTCTGAAGCTGAGACAGCATCTGGGGTTTCTCTGTCCACTATTGAGTTAGGTATTCGCAACAAAGAGGACATTGAAAAGTATATTGAAATGCGGATGAACAACATGGAAATTCTCAAAAATAAGGAGAAACCAGAGATTTTAGAGCTCAGGGATCTAATCAAAACAGGCCTTGGCAAAGGTACCCAAGGTGACTACTTCCAGTTGAATTATCTTTTGACCGAAATCAGTAAAAAGAGGAGGAAGAAGGAGATTCAGGAGGTACTGGAGCATGCTGGCGAGGATCGAGAGGCCACAATAGCTCGTGAGATCGACCATCTGAATCATACTCTCGGATATGAAGACATTCAGGATCTTGTGGCAATACTTAGCTGGATAATGGGCGCAAAACGTGCGCCATTTCTAAAAACCCTTGAAGGAGTTCTTTTGATCAAGAATGGCGAGGCCTCTCTTATGCCGCTGGAGGAGCAAGTCCGGACTAAGTATTCTTCTCTGCTTGAGATAGCAGAGTATGACTCTGTGATACTTCGTTCCAAAGCCATTCGCGAATTTTTCAATAAGCAGACCAAAAAAGAAACCAACGAAGCGATCGCAAAGACCGAGCTACATCCAGCTGAGGTAGCCATTGTGAGGAGATTTCTCAACAGCGTCTGTGACAAGGAGTTGTTTGAAAAATTTGGATTCGAAGAATTCTTCAAGTCCAAGTTAGGTTCCAAATCTGCTTCAATCCGTGTGAACGTGGAGACTCTCAAAATTTACGTTATACTTGTGGGTATGAAGTCCGTCGCGAGTGATAGGGATGAAGAGTTGAAGGCCCTGAGGAACGCACATTTCTACTCTTTCCAGGAGTGCTTGGAAGCGGTTGACCTTGCGCTCACGCAGCCCGAGCCGAAAACTGAGATTGGTACATACCTTATCAAGCATTTTACCGACGAGACATACATGAAAAAATGGTGGATTGAGGACCGAATGTTCCAACGAAGCTGGTGGTCGTATGAGGACAAGCATGTTAATACGATGCTCAAATGGTTCAAGGATTCCGCCGTTACAAGGAACCTATCAGCTGAAATGAAGGAATGGGTAAACGGACTAATTTCGAACGCCAACCCAAATGATGATCTTCTTTGCCATACTGCAAAGTACATTGCAAAGCAATGGCTACAGACTGTGAACTGGGAGACTCGCAATTTTTTCTGGTGGCTACTGGGATATGTAACTAAGGTTTGGATCTCTTCTTGTAGTGGACTCTTTATCATATGCTAATGCTTTTATGTTTATAGATCAAAGCACGTAAAGGGGAAGGTAAGCGGGTTACATCGGATGTTTCCCCTACATTGGAGCAAATATACGATGTGGAAAAATGGGCAAAATCTGAACTAGACATGGACACTGCCGACACACTCTGGGAAGTACAGATGGGAATTACCCTGCATAATTTTGGATTTTACCAGGAATCTATTGATAGGTGTATTGCATCTCGCAATCTGGACGCTTCGAATTGGCGTGCCTCTTATATCCAAGCTGAATCATGCTGGGAAAGGGATGATACAAAAGCATCTCTGGAACTAATAATGCCCGTGATGGAGAGGTTCAGAAATGAGGAAGCATTGAGGATTGAATACGAAGAAAAGTTTTATCTTGGAGTTCTTGCATCCTATGGAGTATGGAATACTGATATCAAGGAATATGATAAAGCCACCGCTGCTTTCCAAGAAATTCACGAGCATGACATGGACCAGTATGCACCCATATATTGGACCTTGGAGTTGCTTGAAAAACAGGAGAAATTCACAGCCATCATTGAAACACTTCAAGATTTGCAAGGCAAGAAAAACAGCCAAGGTCAAAACCGTCTCACAGCAATGCATCATCAATACGCAAACAAGGGTGAATACTTTACAAGGTTGAACACGGCTGGATTTCACTCCTCCAGCATGGACGTTGTCCGTGATTCTATGTACGAAGCCTTAGCCCCGGAAAACGTAGTTGGAGTGATTCCATACGTTACCTCATGGCTCAATTACTTCCTCGCCAACTTACTATACCAGCATCCAAGGACTGATGCAGACAAGGCGGAAGCCATCAAAATATGGGCCCACATCGTTAACAAATCCGCCCGCAAGATTTATCTTATGAGCGAAGCTGATATCCTAGAGGCAACTACTGAAAAACTGGGAGAGGTGTATCTTCACCAAGCTCTCGATGCTGGAGTCGACACACCGGCTGCTGAGGAGTATTTGAAGAAATCAATGGATTTGCGCCCTGGTGCGAAAGATGGAACAACTTTCTTCACTTGCCAAAACCTACAATTCATGATCGCCCGACTACAGCATCTAATGGGTCAAAAAGAGAAAGCAATGGATACTTTGAGGGGACATGTCAAAGTAGCGCTGGACTTGCTTTGTGATGATGATGATAGCAACGACTGGGACGCTTACTTGAGGCTGACGTCTGTAGCACACGTTGATGACGATGTTAATACTCTCGCTGTCTGGTCTGCGCTTGGACCATTTGTCCATACAGAAGAGACGGAAGAAGAAAAGGCGGAAGAAGAAGCGGAAGACAAAGTGGATGTGACAAACGACCCTTCGGACGAGGTAAATATTGCGAACGGTGACCGCAATGACCAAACAGATGTGGGTGCAAAGGAGGAAATCCCCATACTTGCAGGCCTAACCAGTGAGGATGCGGAACATATCAAATCTGCAGAAATTACTGAGATCGAAGTCGAAGAAATTGATGTGACAGTAATAGCAGGAGTAGCAGAGATAAAGGTGACTGAAGCGGAAGTTGAAAACAGTGATATAAAGGAGGGCAAGGAGTCAATGGATGAAAATAAAGAGCAAGAGGACGAGAATCGAACGGAGGAAATTGATGAGGAAGAGGGTGAAGATGGTGATGAGGAGGATGAGGAGTTATCGGGGCCCCTCGAGTTGTCTTGCGACGGCAACTGTGGACGTGAATGGACTTGGGCGAGTGAGTTCCATGCATGCAAAGACTGCTTGGATGTGCAGTTTTGCAACGATTGTTATATCGAAATGAAAAATAACGGCAAAGACATGAGACTGTGTGGGCGGAATCACAGCTTCGTATTTGTTCCCTACTGTGACGCAGATACTGCAAGGCAGGTACCCAAAGGGTCCATTCGCGTTGGAAGCGAAATCATACCCCTTCATGAATGGGTAGAGCGGATGAGGGTACAATGGGGAATTGTAGAGGAAAAGGTGGATGAGGAGAAGTCGGAGGAGGAAGTATCTACATAACTAATTTCTTTGACATACGCATCTTCGTCCATAGTATATATATACTTGATTCTCGTCAAATTCGGTAGCATATATGAAAGGACCTCATTTTGACCTCCGTTTGGGAGTCTTGCAAAGTTCTCTACCCTACTGTCTTCTTTCCTAGTGTTCATGAAGCCACATAAATGTACTTATATACCCGCAGAGTTCCTATCCTCGTTGTTCTCATTCTAGTGCGCACTTGACTCGACTGTGTGATCTTTCCCATGAGGAAGGCCAGGCTGGCGTCAGGCTCGACATTGTTAACTTTGGCATGGCATTATATACAGGCCTAACCGTTATCCGTGCCTCATCTCGTCCATCCCGGATCAAGGGCAAATATGGTCTCTCAAAGACAGCTAGGAAGACAAGCTGAACTAGAGATACTTCTGTGCATGTCCGGAAGATGTAAACATCGCAAATTATTATAGCGGAAGACTAGGCAATCGGAGAGGTTATGCCATGTTTACAGCTCACCAGCATATATTCACTACCCCATATAGAATCACCATTTTCGCACGGCTTCTACTCTGAGACCTGACAAAGCTATTGGGGTTCATAAGTAATTGTAGATGCAAAAATTAATCCATAAGTCTCAGCTATACCAAATATCTAGCAGTTACATCACCGATATGCCCGCTCCATAAAAATAAACACCACGGTCAATAAACTCATTCCTGACTACTCTGTACACTAACTAGATTCATCCAAGGTAAGGTCATGCTGATAATCTCCCCAAACTCCCTTGGAGCAGTATTCATCCAGTCCATCGCAGCAGCTACGCTATCATGGTTGGTACTAACAGCCCGTAACGCCGACAACTCTCGCACTCGATTGAAAATACTGAATATTTTGTCTGATATTCGAACAGCTAATAACGGGGCGTATCTGCTTGACTGCCATGTGGCAGATCGCATGGTCGATACCGTCAAGCTAAGTCGTAGGTGACGAACGCTTTTTGACGCAGAAAGATTGTAGCGACTGAGCGAGAAAATGGTAGGAGAGGAGCTTTCATACTGATTACCGGGTCCCAGAGCCCACTATCGCGACAAACGGCAAAGCAACGAGAGAGGCTGCCAACTGCTAAAAGTTATATGCTCGAGCGCTTCGCACGGATGGGAAAGGGGGAAGAAACTTCGGACCCACTTAACTAGGTTAACTAGTTCGTGATGTTTTTGAAAATAGAGTTCTATGGTTAAATTGCTAACCTTAAAATATCAGTTAAAACATAAACTTGTTTCTTCTAACGCTGCCTAATTTTTTTCATTGGAGGGTTAAGAAAACCATGACCAATAATTCGAAATTTACGATATTCCTATTATCATTACCCTGCTCACACTGCTTCCCTCTCTGATACGCCTAATTGCTCGGATGCCCCTATTTGCAAAAAAAAGTGCTCGGATGCCCCTGCTCCACACTACCTAACTACATAGAGTAAAGCTCGTGTATTTAGGTAATATATACTGTTTTATATATGTATCCCAAGGCGTAGAGCCACACGTAGAGTTACTAGAATACCCTTCTTTCCTAACTACAGAGTACATATCTTAAGTGTAGCAGAAGATACAGTCTCCTTAACCTCCCTAACCTCCCTAACCTCCCTAATCTCCCTAGCCTCCTAAGTCCCCTAATACCTAGCTTAAAATAAGGGTTTAACTTAGGATATTAGGGGATTAGGGAGGTTGGGGAGGTTAGGGAGGTCAGGGAGACTGTATCTTCTGCTATACTTAAGATATGTACTCTGTAGTTAGGAAAGAAGGGTATTCTAGCAACTTTATTTGTGGCTCTGTGGCTAGGGGATACGTATAGAAAACATAGTGTGTATCTCTAAAAGTTACAAAATAAAACAAGGGTATCCGAGCACTTTTTTTCGCAAACAGGGGCATCCGAGCAATTAGGCGCTCTCTGATATTGCACAAGCAAAGCCACAGCCAAGTGCAACAAACGAGGGGAGTGCTCATATCATAAACTCTAGTCGCAGGGATATCTCCCCTATTGTCATGTACCAAGCTATCCGATGGAGCACAGAGAACTCCGTAATTTCGTGCTTATTCTGTGGAAATAACGATGTTCGGAGTAGCTGGGCAAACTTGGATCTCAAGTTCAACTAACAAGCTGGTTCGGAAATAATTGGGCGAACCGCTAGGGCATTTTTCGTGGCGATCATTCTCGCTAAATCGATGATTGAACTCCATTTATCATTTCTGTTCAACGGGATGGCTGGTGCCATGCAGGAATCCGTGCACACTGGATAAGCTGGATATATAACTGGCCGACCCTGCCCAGTTGTATATAAACCAGCTAGCCATGCTCTGTGCTACGGACATCTTCAATTACCCTAATATGCCCGTTCCCCTTATTTTCAACTGTTCCAATTGTTCTGGCAAGTGATATTGCGCCAGTGGCTCGGAAGCAAAGGATACAGGTCATTATCATTTGCCACCTTGGATCATATACATATCTGGACGATACCAATCAGTTAACTATTGCGTGGCATCACTTCACGGAACCCAAAACCTGCTACACTCAATTTCAGTGCTGTCAAAAAGTTGGCAAATCGTTCAACTTTAAAAGAGCTAGTCTTCGTACTGTTTCTTGTCTTCCATGGGCTAGAATATATGATTGTCATACCGTTAATCTCTTGACCTTTTTTCTTACCTCCTTTTGTTTTTCGTCAACATAACCTGGCCGTCAAAAGGGGGCACGGGATGTATATCTTCAGGAGCATTCCTTCGATTATTTAAGAGCCTACCGTCCCCCAGGTACATGTCTTCATCACCACACCAACCTTTCAGCTTTATAGAGACAGACACTTTCCCGTTATCATCTCTATACTCATAATCATGAAGTCAAGTTTTCAAATACTTGCGATTTTGTCTCTATTTTTCGCCCTTGTGCTGGCAAGCAGGCAACGGCCCGTTAGGCCCAGCCTTGGTGGTAATAATAGGATTGATTCATCCATGCTTGTGGACTGCTGCTATC